GGGGGGGTCCCGGGCGGCGCCGGTAGGGCCGCGGCCGAGGAAGCCGCCGGAGCCGGGGAACTTCCACTGCGGCATCCGCGGCAGCAGCGCGCAGAAGGTGGTGCCGTGCTCGGGCTCCTCGCCCGCCGCGGGGCAAGGCCCGGGGGCCGGCGACGGCATGGGGACGGTCAGCGGCTCGTCGCGGAAGCGGTCATATTTGGGCTCTGGGAGCATGCCCGGGGCCGCGCTCCGCTCCGCTCCGCCGCTCCGCTCCGCCGCCGCGCCGGCTCCCGCCCCCCGCCCGCTCCCCCGGGGCCGCGCCGCGCTGATGTCATGGTGTGAGCGCTCCGCCGCCCGCCCGGCCCCGCATCCCCCGCCCCCGGCTCCCCCCGCCGCGCTGGACCCGCGGCCGCCAGAGCATCCCCCGTCCCTCCCAGCATCCCCGCCCACCCGAGCATCCCCCAGGTCCACAGCTCCACCCCACGCCTGAGCTGGCCCCGCAAACACGACCCGTGGGGCCGCAGCCACCCACGCTCTGCCCTCCATCCTGTTCCAAACCCGCTGTCCGTGGCCGAGCACAGGCTGTTGCCCACTTGCGCTTTGCATTAGCTGGAGGGAAACGGGCAAGCAGCGCCCGGCGCTGCCTTCATCCACAGCGGGGGCGTTTTCTGCTCTTTTCACCTCTGCATTCCCGAAAAGCGCTGCAAGAGCCCAGGGCTGGCCGGGGGGGAGGAGGGGTTTGGCCAGGCTTCACTGCACAACCAGGCTGCCCTATTTCTGTGCCTCCCAGCCCGCTGGTCTCATTCGCTCTGATTTCATCTGCCCCCAAAGCCAGATCTGGCTCCCGTTTGTTTATATCTGTCTGTAGGGCTCAGGTAGTAAAAAGCTTCCCGAGGATATTCCTTGGCCGGCTGGGAGCCGCCTGCACTCGGGGTTGCAGAGGCGATGCCGCTGTGGCCGCTCCCCCCGGCGTCTCCCTCCCAGCCCCGAACCAACCGGCACAAACAAAACCGGAGCCTCCCCGGGGACCGGCCATGCCCTGGCTGATGCGGTCGCCTTTGTCTCTCCTCCTCACTGTCTCCTGCTCCCTGGAAGGTGACGGGGTGAGAGCCAGTAATTGCTCTAAGTGGGATCAATAAATCAAGGTAATAGAATTGCATCTGCTGTTGCCGTTTTGGGAGCCACTTCCCTGCTCTCCGTTCCCTCCTTGGTTTTAAGGTGCTGCAGAGCACTGGAACAAGTCAGGCTCCTCCGTGCTCTCGCAGCGGCTCCAGCAGGGCTCAGGGGGGACCTCAGGTCCCCGCCCAGCCCTGGTGCTCTGGGTGCACATTCCCGGGGGCTGAGGGTCAAGCCGAGGGAAGGCACCGTGTCCCTGTGGAGGTTACGGGCATTTTACCCGATGCCAAGTGCAGAGCACTCTGGGGACCGCGGGCACCCCGTGGCGTGGGGACAGCACAGCCGGGCACAGCACAGGGCACATCTCTGAGGAGATGGAGCCGTTCCCGTACAAGCCCCGGAGGGAAGTCGGGGGATTACTCTCATCTCGCAGCCAGGCTCAGGCTCTAGAGTTCCCTCCACCTCAAGGGCTCTGCCCCGGCTGCTTTTGATCCCTACTTAAAGGAAAACCTCGATGGACAAAGGCTGGATCGCAGCCTCCGGCGGGTGTATGGGAGCCCCGCAGCCTCTCGCTGCCCCACGGCGAGACACCTCCAGGCTCCCCCGGTGGCCCCTCGACCGCTGCCCGGGGCGATCACCTGAGCGGGGGTGGGGGCGAGCAGAGGGGCCCTAGCGCGCGTAAAACTGGTCTAAACTCTGCCCGGTCAACCTTGTCCGACCGCACGAGGGAACGAGCACCACGCGCTCTCCGGCCCGTACAGGATTAACGGGATCACGCGCTCCCCGAGCCCGGGCGGTACCGGGGTGGGAGCTGCTCCCCAGCCACCGCCCCGGAACTGGCTGCCCCTGCTCAGCTCCCGCGGCACCGGGCCCGGGGGACGGGACGGGGTCGTCCCGGGGGGCGCTCGGCTGTCACCACCCCCGGGATGCCGGTGGGAAGGACGGAGCCGCCAGCCCGGCACCGAGCGGGGCCGCGGGGGCGCAGCGACGGTCCTTCCGCAGCCTCCGGTACCGCCAGCCCCGGGGCAGCCGCGTGTCCCCGCTCGATCCGCCCGGCCCGGGCCAGGCGTCGGTAACGCGGGGACGGGGCCTCAGCCGCTCTCGCCAGCCTCCCGAAGCACCGGATCGCTAACAGTGCCCCCGCCCATTCCCGGTGCCCCCGCGGCCGTGGAGGACTGGGACCCGGACCGGGACCGGGACCCAGACTGGGATTGGAACCCGGACCGGGACCGGGACCGTCCGTGACGTCACGGCCTCACCCAGGCCAACGGGAAAGGCCCGCCCCCCACCCCTCTCATCCAATCACAGACCAGCGCGGCCGTAAGGAAGAGGCGGAGCAGCCAATGGAGCGCGAGAATCGGCGCCCCGGAAGTGCTGGTTTCCGGGCCGGGGGCGGGGCCTGCGGACGGACCCGCCCCCACGCCCGCAGCCCCGGGGGCCCGGCGCTCCCCGCCCGGTGCCGGTGCCGGTCCGGTTCCGGCTCCGGGCCCGGGCTCAGCCCGGCTCGGCCCGGCCCGCCGCAGGGAGGATGGGGCAGCCGCGGCGGCCGGCGATCGGCTGCGGCCCGGCGGCGCCATGACCGGCGAGAAGAAGAAGAAGAAGCGGCTCAACCGCAGCGTCCTGCTGGCCAAGAAGATCGTGATCCGGGACGGGGCCGGCGTGAGCGCGGGGCCGGGGGGCGGAGGGGCCCGGGGCGAGGGGACCCTCCTGCTGCCCCCCCTGCGGGTGCCCGGGCCGGGGTCCCGCCCCGGTGGGCCTGGGGGGTTTCTCGGCCTCGGGGATGCCGGGGGGGGGGGTTGTGCCGCGTTCCCGGTGCGCTCCCGTTCCAGCGCGGGCCGGGAATCCCCCGCCATGGTGCTGGGGGTGGGTTCGAGCAGCCTGAGCTGTCTGCGGGAGGTGGTTTGGGGGGTCTGTGAACAGAAACAAGGTTTCAGCAGGACTGTGTCTCGCTCTCAGACCCCTCCCGGCTGTGGGAGCTCTCAGAGATGCTCCTTCCAGGGAGGACGTGGCCGCTGAAGGGTTTTTGACTTAAGGTGCTCTGTTTTGCAGCGACAGGGGATTGGGGACCCCAGCGTGTACCACGCTGTGGTGGTGATTTTCCTGGAGTTCTTTGCCTGGGGGCTGCTGACCACACCGATGCTGACGGTGAGCACCTCTCCTTGGGCCAGCACTGCCTTGGGAGCTCTCCTTGGGCTCCTGAGGTCTCAGCACACGCCTTCCCGTGGGGTGCTGTGGAAAAGGAGTCTTTGGTTGTGCAGAAACATTTAGACACAGTATTAGCCTGGCAATATAAAATGTGAATCGAACATACAGACAGCACAAAGAGAACTACAGGGAGGTGATGTGGTGACGTGAAGTAAAACCAGAGGGGACTCGGGTGGGGTATGGATGGATTAAGGTGCATATCAGGCTCTCTTAGCCTCACCCAAGCATGCTGGAACGATTTATAGACCTGGAAAGTGTTAAAGACAGTGATTGCCTGTGCTGGAGAGGGCAGCCAGAGCTCCTCACACAGAGGCATGGTTTGTAGGGTATTTCCCCTTTTCCCTGGATTGTGCCCTTCCAGGCCTTTTGGCTGTCAGGTGCTTAAGGAAATTTTGCCACAGTTGCCAGGTCTGACTTTTGCCTTTAGGTTTTGGTTTCTTCTCCCCCAGGTGTTACACCAGACGTTTCCTCAGCACACGTTCCTGATGAATGGCCTGATTCATGGAGTCAAGGTAAGGAACATTCCTTCCAGGCTTTCCTTTAAATCTGCCATCCCTGCAAGAAGGGACAAGCCATTATTATCCATGTAATTTGCTGATGTCAACCAATATTTGTCAGCTCAATGTTCATATTTCAATTTGGGGGCTCTGGCAAATCTGATGCAAAAGGAAGGACACAGACACGGGGCAGCTTGTGCAGCTGATTTTGCTGAATGGTAATGACAATGTGCTGCTTGTCAGCGTGGAGCTGGAGCTACAACAGCTCAGTGTTTCAGCTGGAAATATTCTCATCAGCATGAGATCAGCCCTTGTACTCATCTTCTGGAGCGTAACAGAATAACAAATCAGTGACATCTGAACTTATCAGTAATAGAAGCTGAAGCCCAGCGGCCTCAGCGGCTCCCCCAGACAGGAGATGGGAGTGTGCCATGGCACAGGGAGAGGAATGGTGAGCTTGCACTAGACCAGAGCAGGATTGGAGGCAACGAGAGGGAACAGGCCATAGTCATGTGTTCTGACTGGAGAATCGGGCAAAACAAACTGTTCTTGGCAGTCTTTGGCAACAGGATCTTGGAAAACAGCCCCAGAGGGGCTGGGCACTCCCACTGGCACTGAAGGGCTCTGCCCTGCCTGCCTCGGGTCTGAGAGATGTGGAAAGGCCTTAAGCACAATTTTATTTGTGCTTAATGGTTCTGGCTTCCCACTGTGTCTGTTCTGTCTCCACCTACAAGGGAAAGCTTTCCCCAGAACTGCAGCAGGTGCTGCCATGGTGGAGCTGTGCCAGCAGCTTTCCAGGTCTGGCAGGACTGCCCAGGCACCCACAGCCACAGGCAGAGCTGTGCAGAGAGCAGGAGGGAGTGGGAGTGCTCAGCTGGGCCTTGCTGGTCAAGGATTTATTTTTCCCTCTCTAAAAGGACGTGAGCAGTTTAACAAACTGCTCTGTTGTGACAGCATTGCTGCTTGCAGCAGTCAGGAATGGGCTGCCTCCTCCTGCCTAAAGCTCTCGCTGTCAAGAGGCAGAGTCTGACTGAGGGGTTTCTCTGTCCCCCCTTCTGTCTGTCTGTCTGTCCCAGGGTCTGCTCTCCTTCCTAAGTGCTCCGCTGATTGGTGCTCTCTCTGATGTCTGGGGCAGGAAATCCTTCCTCCTCCTCACCGTCTTCTTCACGTGTGCACCAATTCCCCTGATGAAGATCAGCCCGTGGTGAGTTCACCCTCGGTGCAGCCCAGGGTTCTGAGGAGGGGAAGAAGCACGAAGCCAAACGATGGCGGGTGCTTGTTTTACGATGAGATGGAAGAGTCTGTCTGGTAGAGGAGGATGCTCAGCCTAGAGACTGACTTGTGTGGTTCTGTGGGAAGGTTCAGCTGGGAGTAGAGGGTCTGTCTGTCCTCTCCTGGTGCTTGTTCCCATGATCAGTGCATTATTGTTATTAGGGAAAATAAGTGATAAAACTCCAGGGACCCCAGACTGAGGCTCCATATTCCTGAGTGTACCAGAGTGTTCTGGTGCACCAGAGCAAGACGGACAGAAGAACAAGGGAGAGGCTCTGCATCAGCAGCTGTGCACTGTGGTGTGGTTGCTCTCTAACTCTGCCTTGGGCACTGCCTCTTTCAGGTGGTACTTTGCTGTCATTTCCATGTCTGGAGTGTTTGCTGTCACCTTTTCCGTGATTTTTGCCTACGTTGCCGATATCACACAGGAGCATGAGCGCAGCACGGCGTATGGCTTGGTGAGGAGCTCAGGCACTGCTTTGTCTCTTGAGAGAAATATTTGGGGGTTTGCAGGTAGGAGAGGTATAAAGTTAAGGGTAGGAGGTTTATTGACTAAATGTATTGTCTCCCTGTCCTTCTACTTGGGATTTAGCTCAGAGGGAAAGGCTGATCTCTCCAGAGTCCGAGTGCTGGCTGTGGTGTAGTTTAGCCTGTAAACCAGCCTGGCCTGTGAGCTTTTCCACATCAGGAAAGCAGGAGCTGTGATGCTCTGTGGGATCCTGCCTTTCCTGTAGCTTTACTGACAGGACCATATGGAAATTGCTAGGACAGCTTTGATTTCCCTTTGCTAGAACTTAGCCCAGATTGCACCAAGAGAACCTGTCATCTGTCTGTGTACAGGCGTCCCCGTGAGTCCCTGTTCACCTCCATTATCTTCATCAAAGTGGCAGAAGGAGTTCCCCTGGGTCACTGGGGAGGAGGAAATGGGCTCTGGGAAGAAGAGGCTGTAGGAATGTTTTATCCTTTCAGGTGTCAGCCACGTTTGCTGCCAGTCTGGTCACCAGCCCGGCCATCGGCGCGTACCTTTCCCAAGCCTACGGTGATACTTTGGTGGTTGTGCTGGCCTCGGGTGTTGCTTTGCTGGATATTGGCTTCATCCTGCTGGCCGTGCCGGAGTCACTGCCAGAAGAGATGCGCCCGGTCTCCTGGGGAGCCCCAATTTCTTGGGAACAAGCCGACCCATTTGCTGTGAGTGATGCTGCTGTAATGCTTAGTGTTTTCTTTAGTCCTGCTGATTTTTAAGATGGTGACTTAAGCTCTTGGTTTGGCTGTCTCTGTACCTGGAGATTATTCAGTGATATCAACTCAATTTTAAAAGCATTCTTTCTCGTTGCCCACCCCCTTTCCCTGCAGTCCCTGCGGAAGGTGGGTCAGGACTCCACAGTGCTGCTCATCTGTATCACCGTCTTTCTCTCCTACCTTCCCGAAGCTGGCCAGTACTCCAGCTTCTTCCTGTACCTGCGCCAGGTCAGTCTCTGCTGAGGGGGTAAAGCTCTGGGTGCAGGAAATCCTGGCCTACAAATACTGTCAGAGTTGCATGTCCCGAGGTGGCTCATTTTGGCCAACAGCTCAGTAAAGTTGCAGTTGTAAGAAACAGTGACTTGTTCCAGCTTTCCTGAAAAATGTGTGAGCCTGATGACTGCTCTGTAGGCATTGCCAGGGGCAAGGCCTGGTTTGGCTCCTTGCTGGTGTCTCCCTGGCCATCCTGGCCATGCCACCTTCAGGCACCTTCAGTGATTTAAAGCTGATTCTTCATCCAGAGGAAAATCTTCCCTTTGGTTCCTGTGGCAGCCCAGAGGCAGTGGCTGGTTAATGTGCAGGGCCCTGAGAAGTGACATCAGTAAGCATGGGTGACATCTGTGGAGTGGCTCTTGTCATCTGGTACAAATCTCCTGCCTGAAAAGTCCCTCTTTGGTGTTTTTACAGGTCATTGGCTTTTCCTCAGAGACTGTAGCAGCCTTTATCGGTGTAGTTGGAATTCTCTCTATACTGGCTCAGGTGAGAAGCAATTTCTGTCTTGGCTCGAGCAGTCCACTATAGAAATGTCCAAAATTTGTGATTTCGGGGCTGATGAGTAGTCAGAACCCCTGTGGCCACACAGACTTTTGAATCATAGAAAATCTTGAGTTAGAAGGCACCCACAAGGATCGTCAAGGTCTCTCTGGTTCCCATCCTCTTGTCTCCTAATGTCGTCATCTTTCTTTGCCCCTGCTTTGAAAACACCTGTTTTTCTTTCCAGACAGTTGTCTTGGGAATTCTCATGCGTTCCATAGGAAATAAAAACACCATCCTCCTGGGACTAGGCTTCCAGATCCTGCAGCTTGCCTGGTATGGCTTTGGATCACAGCCTTGGTGAGGGTTTGCCCATGTTTCTCTCCCTCCGCGGTGGCTCCGCAGCCGCTCCTGCCTGTGGCGCCGGGCGAGGCTGTGCCTGGGCCTCACTCCTGCCTGCCTCCTCCCCAGGATGATGTGGGCAGCAGGAGCTGTGGCTGCCATGTCCAGCATCACCTTCCCAGCCATCAGTGCCATGGTGTCGAGGAACGCGGACCCCGACCAGCAGGGTGAGTGCTCAGGGGTCCATCCCAGCAGGTGCTGAGCTGGCACACGGGTGGGCTCTTGGCCATGGTGGTGGAGGGGTGGTTAGAAGCATCTGTGCCAGCTGTGGAGTGTTGCTGTACTCCCAGTAGTCTTGACAATTTTGTCTTTAACTATGGCTGGTGCATTGCAAGGGAACTCCCAAGTTATGCATGTGGGTGTTCAGTGTTAACTCTCCAAGGCAGAGGAGACTGCTGCGTTTTGGCAGCCTCACAGTTTGGCCCTGAGTCCTCAGACTTGGTTGCCTTAAATTCCAGTTCATTGGAAATTGTTGCTCAGTGTGCCTGTGCTCATTTCAGTCTGCAGAGCAGCAAGCCCAGCATTGCTGATTTTTGTAAAACCTGACACTGAGCGAAGCTGCTCACGTGCAAACCTCCTCCCCCTGCGGAGTGCCCATCAGCCCAGACACAGTAATTGATCCTGTCTCCAAATGTGTGAGCATCCTTGAACAAAACAAATTTCTTTGGAAAGCTGGAGGCACATCCTCCCTTCCTCACTGTCCCCAGGTGTGGTGCAGGGGATGATCACTGGAATTCGGGGTCTGTGTAATGGCCTGGGGCCGGCGCTCTATGGCTTTGTCTTCTATCTCTTCCACGTGGAGTTGAATGAAATGGCTGAGGTGGAAACTTTGGGCAAGGCCTCCAAACCCAACATGGCCAACCCTACGGATGAGGTACCCGTTCAGTTTATTTGCCTGTCAGCTTACCTGTTTGCCAGGCTGCATCTGCTCTCGTGTCTGAATCTTTCCTGTGTCTCTCCCTGCAGAGCAGCATCATCCCCGGGCCACCCTTCCTGTTCGGGGCGTGCTCTGTGCTGCTGTCGCTGCTGGTGGCCCTGTTCATCCCGGAACACAACCTGGTGCTGAGGTCGGGCGGCCACAAGAAGCACAGCCCGGGGGCCCAGGCCCACCCCCACAGCCCCCCGGCCGGGGGGTCGGATGGCAAGGAGCCCCTCCTGGAGGACAGCAGCGTGTGAGGTGGGACAGCAGGACCTGCCTCGCGGCTCAACTCCACTCCAGGATGGACTCGGCAGGAGTTCGGGGAGGGGGAGAGAGAGCCGAGGTAACAGACTGTGCCGCTGACAGCTGCTGAGGAGGGACGGGCTTTCCCTTCGAGCCAAATACACACAGCTGGTGCAAAAATGGAGTTGTATCACCTGGTGTTGATGGAAAGGGGAGATGCGGAACTGCCCCATGTGGAAGGATAGTTCTGGAAAGCAAACCTGCCCTTGCGCGTGAGCCCCGTGCTGTGCCCTCCAAACCCTCCGCTCGCCAGTCACGCAGGACGGAGCCGGCGTGGTCCGTGTTTGGTGGGAGCTCACTGGGCTGCCTCCCAGAATAAAACATGGCACCTGCTCTGTGCCCCGTCCCTGATACAGCTGATTCCTGCCCCTGGCAGCCCCCGGGGTGGGTGTGGCCCCCCCCCCGTGTGGTGTTTGTGGCCCGGCTGTGGTGACACTGTGGTGACACGGGTCTGTGTGGAGCACAGGGGTGGAGCTTCCTCACTGCCCGAGGACCCGAGGAATTTACCCATTCTGCCCCAAGTGAAACTTAGACCAAAAAAAAAATAAATCTACTGACTTAATGTTCTGATGAAGAGGATAAAAATTAAGAAGTCAAGTTGCAGCTCACACAAGGGAGAATGGGCAGGTGAGAGAAGGGCAAATACATGAATTACAAACGCTTGAATGGCCACAATGGCCATAGTTCTGTTTGGTTTTCCTCTTTTTGTCATGTTGAGGTGACATTTGCCCGTCACTGCCTCCACAGGCAGTAGATAGAAGGATTTTTCAGAAATCTTTTTATGGAGCTGTGAGTGTTGTTTAGGAGATACAGTTCTCTGGGAGGTCAGAGAAACAATTAAACTGTGCCGAGCACTTTGGAGAATGTGGCTTCCTGGGAGAAAGGTCAGAGAAATGGTTGTTTACCTCGAGCACTTGTATAAAGCCTGGTTTGTCCCTGGGCTCCTGCCATCTAATGTTAAACCCAGAGAATGTTTGGAGCTGGTTTATTCTCAGCCCAGGAGATCCTAATGGTGAGGATTGTGTTGATTTGGACTTACAGTTTGGAATTCCGTGTGGCATTTCTGAGCCTGCTGTGAAGGCTTTTGTTTATAAAACAGTGAAATTGCAGCCTCTGCTGCAGGCTCAGCTCTGCTCAGAAAGAGCAGGAGGTGCTTGAAGTGTTGTGAAAGAGGCTGAGGCAACCAGGGAAAGTGTGGTTGTTTATAGAGATGTGACAGAGGGCAGGAAACGATTGTTCTCATTTAAGTAAATCAGAAGAAATGGCACTGAGCAATTCTGGGAAGTAACGACCAAACTGGAGACACTTCAGGAATCTGTTGTTAAGGGAATTGAGGCTGCAGTGGCCAAACCAGTCCTGCCTCAGAGTGGGGCCAGTGCAGCCATGGCCATTCTCTGGACAGGGTCCCCTCTCTGTGGGTTTGGGACAGGTAACCCAGGGAAGAGCAACCAAAAGGGAGGGAGTGTTGGCCCTTTGGATTTAATGGTAAACTGCCTGGACCACCCTGCTGCTGACCCCAGCTGGCACACACAGGGCAGTGCTGCCCATCCTCTGCCTGGGAGCACCCTCTGACTGCTCTGTTGGGGCTGGTCAGTGTTGGCTCTGGGCACAGCACGGGTGGCAACTTCATGTGGGTCCCTTGTGTGCCTGTCAGACCCTGACAGCCGGGACCAGCTGCCTGCCCAGCCTGGGTAACTGGGAACACAGTGCCAGTTTACTGGTCTTCTGGACCAGTTGGTTATGGAAGGTGGATGTTTAAGTGAAAGGGCTGACAGTTTGTTTTGCATCGATCTGGCCTGGAACCAGATCCTGTGCTCACAACTGGGGGCAGCCTGTTCTGCGAGCAGAGGGAGGGATGCTGAGGTGGGTCTGGCTGCAGGGCTGGGGACCAGAGCCAGCAGGAACTTCAGTGACCTGCCGTGACTCCACTTTTCCCAAGCTCCTTGTGGTGACACTCCCAGTTCCCAAATGTTGCTGGGATGGTCAGTATTTGTGTGTGCATAGCAGCTGTTTTTCCGAAGGAAATCCGGTCACTTGCACTTCCAGGCAGCAGTTCCCCCCCTCCGTGTTCCTCACAAAAATGCCTTTTTTAGACAGGACTTTTACCAGGTCCTGGTGATCTGTTGATTTACACTTGATTAAAGTGAGCTAAAAGTGGGTTTTTCCCTCACATACAGATGAAGTAAAACACAGAATTGTTACCTTGCTTACACAGAGGCACTTGAAGCTTCACGGGTACGATATAGTGGCACGTTGCAAAAAGACGAGCGTGATTTATATGATATAAAGTATATAGAGATATATTTTTAAAGAGTCCTTTCCCTTATTCCATAGTTTATTGAAACTGATGTGTTTCTTGGTCCTGTTCCCTCTCACCACCACTGCTGCCTGCGGCCTCTCAGCCTCCCCTTCCCCTCAGACTGCAGAACCATCTGGTGACCTTCCCTCTCCAGTCCTGTCCCTCATGACACGATCCCTGAGCTTCTCTGATGTGCTCTGGCTTGTGTGTCATGGGCCTGGAGTGTCTTGATGCCTTTTTCAGCCTTCAAGCTTGGGGTCAGGTGCTGCTGCAGGTGACTCCCAGGTGAGGGGCTGCAGCCTGGCTGGTGAGCAGCTCTGCTGCCAGCAGGGCACAGCACTGGGAACCAGTGGGGGAGCAGCACTGGGAACCAGTGGGGGAGCAGCACCGGGCAGCTGGAGGTGGGGGGTGCAGCACCAGGAGCAGTGGGAACGCTGCAGGTGCCATTACCAGTGGAAAGGTGGTTTGTGCCGGCCTGTGGATTCCTTCCCACCCTACTGGGGTTCCTCTCATGTGGTTCAGCGGGGCCTTGGTCCGGTGCCTCCCCTCCCCTCGGCGCAGGGACCCCCGCACTGTTCTGCCTTCACGTGACAGAGCAGGAGCTGGGCCAAGCGGTGCCAGAGCTGAAGTTCCCGGGGCCAAATGAAGAATGTCTCATTCTGAAGGGCCGGTACTTCCACAGCATCCCACGTGGAGTCTGGAAAGGCTGTGTGGAGCGTTCAACTAGTTTTGCCAATTTTTTTTACTTTATATGATAATGCAACTTTTTAAAAAGAATCTTTTCTTAAAATCCCCTTGATCTGCTGTGCAGTGTCTGAGCCTGGCTGTTTAACATCAGAATTCCCAGGATTTGTCTGCAGGGACTTACATTTCAGGATGGTAACAAACACAAGGCAAAAATCAGCTTGATTGCCCGTCTGCAGTCCCGGCATTAACGGCCACAGGTCAAGTGAGTTGCCACTGATCTTGTTGCATTAAAAACCTGAGTTACACCATTGTTTTCTCTTCTGCCATTAATTTTGCAAAGTAGTAACATTTTACTTCCCTGTTTTTATTCTTTCTCTGCACTCAAATGGCTGCTGACAGCTGTGGTACCTTTAAAGCGTGGGCATGGGCTGAGTCCCACCTCTGCTCTCTCACAGTTCACCATCGCGTGCATTTGTGTCTCTCTTTTTTAAGCTAACGATAAAATGTATTTATTTCGGTTCAGGTTGTGTTTGGAACTGGCAAATCTCTCCCTCCGATGGATTATTTATTAAACTGCTGCTTTCCTGTTGTGTTGAAGGTCTCTGTCCTGATTCCTCCCCTCACTGGCAGTACCAGGCAGCTCCTGCCCAACCCTTGGCCTGACCTTTGTGAAGATTTGGGGCCAGTTTGGGTGAGCTGGGTTGGGGCTGCCAGCCCCTGCCCTAGCCCGAGATGGGGAGCAGGTCCCTGGCTCCCACCTGCCCCACTGGAGACTCCTCTGGACTGGTTTTTAGCAGCCCCCACTCTATTGTTTAAATTTCCAGCCAGGTTTAATTTAGATCTTATCTGACTCCTATGAACACTTTCTGTGGTGGCTGAAGATGGTCCTGACTGAACAATATAATCACAAGAAGTGTAAACACATCTGTGTCTCCACACTGAACTGTTTTGCTTCCTGAGCAATGGCTCTGGACCGAGTGCTGCCCGGCACAAGGCCCCACTCCTGCCCTGTGGGAGGAAGCACAATTGGCTTCCAGGAAAGGTGTTGAGGCTTCTGAGTCTCCTCATTCCTTCAAATCGTTCCCTTCATTCCTTCAAAGGTTTCCTGTCCTGGAGCCTGGGTGTGCTCCTTTCACCCTGTGCACGCAACCTGTTGATCTCTCTGGGGCACCAGGAGCTCCCGTGCACCTCTGGGCCAGAGGAAGGTCCAAGTCCATTAGAGGAGAGGGCGGTGGAGCGGGGGCTGCAGTGGGTCACTGCTCAGGGGCTCGGTGAGGCAGGGCTGCCCTGGGGGCTCTGCTGTGTCACTCTGAGCTGGGCCAAGTCCCCTGCCCTCCCTCTGGCTCGATGGCTGAGCCATTGGAACTGGCCCTCGTGGAGCTGGAGGTTTATCATGTTTCCATAACTCCAGTTATGGAGTTCTGTTGCCCCCCTGTGCGGGTGGCTGGGGCAGCTCCGGGCACTTGCAAGCCCCAAACCTGAGGAAGTGCAGCACAAGGTGCTGGGCTTTCTGGTAACTGTTAATCTTTTGAGGTCCAGGAAGGTCCGGGAAAGCCGCTTTTTAAGAGAAGGTCACACTGTAAGTGTTCAGTTCTGGTTCGGACTCTGATTCATGGACTTTCTTATCATGTGGGTGGGAGTGGGAGGTGAAGCCCTGGCACAAGGTCTCTGTCCTCAAGGTCCCCAGTCTCATTGTTGGGAAGAGCCTGGCAGTGCGGGAGCAGCCCCGGCCATGGCTTGTCCCAGGGCTGGGCCAGAGGCTCCGGTGGCTGCTGGAAAGTCCAGGAAGTGGCTCTGTTAACACAGGATGGAAGGAACAAAAACCCCAGGACCATTAATCACCTGCTTGGGCTGAGTGTGCACATTCGGTGGTGGGTGTTTACAGAGCACTTCCCTTGCTCAGAGGCCTCCTGGACTCTCGGAGGATTAATGACACGACCTTCTGAAAGGATGCACGGCGCGCCAAGTGCCCAGAGTTGCGTCTCTGGAGAGTTCCCAGATGGGAAAGGGCCAGGTCCTGCCATGACAGGAGGTGCAGGGCTGGGCTCGTGCCTCCCTCAGCCCTTTGGCACCTTCCCTGGCCTTGGCTGCAGCGTGGCAGGACAGGACGGGTCAGAACCAGACCCATCTCTCCTGGGGAGCTGGGCAGGAGTGAGGAAGCGATGCCAGACCTGCCGTGAGACCCAGGAGAGGCACCGTGGCTGTGCCAGGGTCTTGGGGCTGGAAAATGCAGGGTGTTCAACACCTTCTATGTGGTAACACTGTACCACGAGACCAACCCCATCAGGAACACCTGCTTCCATCCCTGAAAACACCCTGTTCTGGGAATTCATGCAGCTGCCGGCAGGACTGACCAG